CAGTCAGTGGCTTCCTCATGCTGCTGCTGCTGTGTGCCTTCAAGTTGTTTCTGACGCATGATGTCTCTAAAGTGAACATCATGCGGTTTTCTTGGCAAGAATTGTTTTTCATAGACTTTTTCCAAGGATAAGAGAGTGTGACTTGCCCAGGATCACCTAATGGATTTCCACAGCCAAATAGGCATTCAAACCCTGGTGTTCCAGAGTCCTAGTAAAACATGCAAACTACTACACCATGCTGGCTTCTACTCTTCATGCTATCAATCAAAAATTACTGTGTAGCTATTCCATCTTTTCATTCTCAGTGGATTTTCTATAGTTGGAGGGAGAAGTGAGAAAACAGGATGGGTGAATAGTTTTCTGTCTGTAAAATTCTACAACTGAATCAGGACAACTGCATAAGAAAAGCCTTGATGGGAAGGACTCATAAATCCACACCTCCTATGTATGTTCATTTCTGCCTTGTACAAACTTCCCATGAGAATATTGCTTTGTTTGCAGATGGGATCCCATATAAGCACTAGAGATGGCTGTTGGTATGCATATATCATCTATTAAGTCAACAAAGGGAATTATAATCAAAAGCCTTCTCCTAACACACCCAGTGACTGCATTGGTATCTATGAATCATTATTTGCAAATAATCAGATTACGTCTGTCAGCACTTATCAAACAGCTTGCCTGGCAGTAGAAATGAAGGGTATATCATAACAACAAATTCATTGTGAGATGTGCCAGCCTTCTGAATTCATCTCTGATTCTATTCTTAGTCCAGGTGTTGAAAAAGTGGCAGATGGGATGGGAGGTCAAGACAGAGAAAATACCTGTGATAGCAACCTCAGGTATCTTGAGGTTGGTGGTAGTTAGTGCTCAGTCTGGTTGTTGGGGCAGAAGGCACAGCAGCCAATAATGGGCAGAATCAATATGTAAAAAAGAGTTAGGGTCAATTTGGGTGTTCATAAACAAAGGCACAAGCACTCTTATCTCTCTTCATCTCAAACACACACACAGGAGCAGGCGAGCAAGCATTTATATATACAGAGGCAGACAGGAATTCACACAAGGTGGTTTTGCTGCATTTAGAAGGTTATCACATGCAAAAAAATAAAGGCAACTTATCCCTGCCGGGTTAGAGTCGTTTACAGGATGCAGGGAATTATTGCTTTAGAAATGCCGCCGATGCCGCCGCCTGACTGTATCCCACCTAAATGCTGGCTAAAAGCCATGCTCAGATGGCTGATTTGCAAAGTTGGAAGCTTCTTGACTTTGCAAATTGGCCAGCTGATGACAGCTTTTAGCTGGGTTTTAGGCAGGATGCAGTAGGGCAGTGGCATGGGTGGCAGTTCTAAAGCAATAATTCCCAGCTGTATCCTGTAAGTGATTCTAATCTGGCAGGGGTAAGTCGCTTTTTTGCGCATGTTATAAGCTTTGTAGCCTAAGCCTGAGGCAGTGTTAGCGAGATGCTTGCTTGGCACCTTTGCCATAATGGACCCACCTCCAATGTTTAAGGCCAACAGAATTTTATACCCAGATTGAGAATAATGCAGCTTTTCAGATCTTGTCAAACTGCAAAGTCCCAGCAATCCTTTCTACTGGCTGTACTTGTCAGGGCTGCTGGGACATGCATTTAAACACTTTCTAGAGGGCTGCACAATTACCATTCCTGCTTTATACCAAGGATGAAGAAGATCTTATATTCCAAAGGCTAAATTCAAATTCAGAGAACTTCTTGGAGGGGTGAGAGCAAAGTCAAAGAATTAGAATCAAAAATACCTGCATATCTTAGTTTAAAGCAACAACTAAGCCATTTCAACTTTTTAGAACAACAACAACAGAAAATCCAAAAAAGGTGGGATAGCATCAAATATTGGGTTATCTCTAGAAGTCAGAGGCCCAGATTTAACCCTGTGGCCTGAGGCTCTCCACGCTTGTGTACTCTTGACTGTCTGGTTTTCCAGTGATATATATCAATGATGTGTGTGAACACCGTGACTCCATGCAAGCCTATAATAAGAATAAAATATGGTACTGAGTGGAGTATTCAGTCTTCTAATATTCAGAGCATTCATTTTTAAAGGATAATTTTCCAGTCCCATTTTCCCAGCATACATAACTAGGTTGATTATTCAGCATCTACTAGATTGTTCTATATATTCTATCAACTTTAATGAGGAGGACTAATTGTATCTCAGAATATATAGAAAAAGTCTTTATTTCTAGAAATTTTAGCTATTATTTCAGGAATAGCAGAAAAAATCATGTAAAAATCATGCAGTTTGACAAGTTTCTGAAGAAACTGCTGATTAAATGGGAAGAGGCAGAACATACATTCTTGTCTAAGCCTCCAGAGACCCTGTCTGTCCTTCTTGTCAAGTTTTATTAGATGTCTCCAGGCAATGATTTTTTTTTTCATTTTCCCCCCTCTTTCATTATCACTTCTGATCAGTGAAGTTTATATCCTAATAGCATACTTAAACCACATATTATCTCCTGTGTAATGCTGATTTTAAACATAGCAATAATAAAATGCACTACATTCAACAGACCATCTAGGCCAGGGGTAGGCAACCTTTCCCCTTTAAGGGCCAAGGGACTTCAGCTCCCAGAAGCCTCAGCCATGTTGGCCAATAGTCCCATGTTGGCTAATAGCTCCTGGGATTCTGGGAGCTGAAGTCCCTTGGCCCTTAAAGGGGAAAGGTTGCCTACCCCTGATCTAGGCTAACAGTACAGCTCAGTTCAAACTTATCTACATCAAAATGAATGATGAAAATGAGACCTAACTAAAACCTGCATCTTTTCTCAGGCAACTTCACCCCCCCACCCCCCGCCTTGCATGAGTCTTGTTGAAAATCAATCCTAAAACAGAAGTGGTCCCTCTGTGATGAGTTACAGCAGCTACTCCTGTTTTGTATCAGTTGCATAGACCAACAGGTGCTCTTTTATCCTTTGAAGCGAAGCACTCTAATGCACCAATATAGACTTTACTGCCACATCTGAGCACTAATGGAAAGGCCCACAGGTGGGGAAAGATACACCATTAGTGTAAAATTACTTTTCCGTAAAGGTAGGCAAGATAGTTTGAAGGGCTCTTACAATCTGTACAACTGCATAGAATTAGAAATAATGGTGATGGTAATGTGTGTGTTTTTAAACGGAAAGAGGAAAAACAAAAACAGCAGGAGAAAAAGAGTGAACAAAAGAGAATTGCTATCAGATATGAATCAACTGATACTTATGCACAGTGATCAATTTTAAACGGAAAGAGGAAAAACAAAAACAGCAGGAGAAAAAGAGTGAACAAAAGAGAATTGCTATCAGATATGAATCAACTGATACTTATTCACAGTGATCAATAGCAGCTGGCATCACATTAACAGGCTTTGGCTCAATTTTATGTCCTAAATGAGAAAAAAGCTATGATAAAGAACTTGTGAAAATTTATCTAGATACAATCCACTAGTAGCAGAGAGTACAAAGAAGGTAAAGCTGTGGCAATCTGTAGAAGGTTAATTTTGTTAATGTTATTGATCCTTAAAAAAAAAATCAAAACGCAATGACTTTCTCACAATAAGAAATATCTTCTATGATACATTTATATAGACTTCAGAGATAGTGGAGTATGGTTTAACTCAGACATATGCCAGCTGACCTATAGGGAACCCACATGACCCTGTCACGTTACTTATAGAAGTACTATATAGATAGGCTTCTTGGGATGGTTATGAGCAGCGATGGACAAGGTATATAAAAAGGATACCTCTCGATAAAGATGTTATGGCCATGGAAGAATTCCAGGAGACTATCGCATTAGGATATAAAGCGGCTTACATGAGCCAGCTTAAAATTAGAAGTGGGTGGCATCCTGATAGTATCAGATGCATTTAGCCATTGAAATCACCGTCTGGGTACAGCCTGGCTCCATCGCTGCTTGAAGGGGTGCTCCTTGGGCCTGTTTTCGAAGCCGGGAGTTTTCCGGCTTGAAAAAATGGCCGCCAGAGTGCCCCTCTGAGCAGCGATGGACTTGGGCTGCAGACGGGTGGCAATTTCAGTGGCTAAATGCATCTGATAATATCAGGATGCTGCCTGCTTCTAATTTTAAGCCGGCAAGAGTAAGCCGCTTTATATCCTAATGCGATAATCTTCCCAGTGTGGTTTATAGAGGTGGGTTGTGACAATAAAACTCCAGCTGGTGAACATGCTTACCTTTTCTCTACCTCGTCCTCCCAACAACCTTGTCAGGTAGGTTAGGCTGACAGAGATGAGTTATCTAGCAAGTTTCATGGCTCAGTGGTGACAAAAAACTGGATCTCCAGAGTTCCAGTTCAATACTCTAAAACTCAGCCTTTTTCAATGCTTTTTACCCTAGAGGAACCCTTGAAATGATTTTCAAATCTCATGGAACCCTGCATAAAAATTATTATATGTACAGCCAGTTACATATCTAGTATATTTGACACTTGGTGAGGATCATTTTTCAATATCTCCCTTTTCTGGGTCTGGTGAAGCTGCTGGCTAGACAGAAAAGGGAGGTGAATTCACTTTTCCACCTGGCCATCAGAGCTGCCAGATTCAGAAGGCAGCCCCTTCCCATCAGTGCTCAAGGTGACACTCCCCTCTTGAGGTTTACTCAGTGCAGTCTGCACCCCGCCACACATGCACCTTACTAGTGATACCCATGTCTACAACTAAAAAAATAGTATTATTTTCAATCACAATCTGTCATAGAACTCCTAGCAAGCTGTCATAAAAAACTAGGGTTTCCTGGAACCCTGCTCTAACCATTATGCCACCACCAGACTCAAAAAAAAGTCTGTACCCTACGTGATCTGCCCATCTCAGAGCTTGTTTTTGTGTGCCTTCAAGTCATTTCCAACGTAATGTCCCTAAGGTGGACCTATCATGGGGTTTTCTTGGCATGCTTCTTCAGCGGAGGGGTTGTCATTGCCATCCTCTGAGGCTGAGAGACTGTGACTCATCCAAGGTCACTCAATGGGTTTACATGGCTGAGCTGGGATTCAAACCCTGATCTCCAGAGTTGTAATCCAATGCTCAAACCACTACACCACGCTGGCTCTCCATCTCATAGCAGTTTATGTCAAATATCACAAATAAGTAAAGTAACAATAAACAATAAAATTGAGTAAAGTTGACATTTGGAGAAATGAAAACCCAGTCAACAACAAAAATTCATTAATGAATAGAATAGCACCAGCAGCCAGTTGAATAGCTCACTAGCTGCTGATTTTTAAAGAGAGATACAACATAATGTTGTTGCACTTATCCCAAAGTCTCAGACTGGACAACTGCCTTAGAGCTGCTTCATATATATGAGTATTTCTTCATAGATAAAGTATGTTAAAAGTTTATTAACTTTTGGGGAATGAATTGTAGGGCTGTGTAACCACAACCTTTGGCATATAGCCCTTGCTATAATGTATTTGCAGGTTCACGAACAACCCCCACACTCATAGGTTCCAGTGATATAACCTCTGTCTATATGGATTTACATGGTGGATTAGCTGGAACAAAAAGAGCCTACAAAGGTGTAAAGTAGAGCAGGTTTCTTTGGCAGCATCTGCAGCGCTAAGAAGGATACACCATTTTCACACACAGAGCTAAAAGCATTAAGTTATCTGTTTGAACAAGAACCATTTGAAATTGTTCCCTGGAGTCCAAAGAGAAAATGAGATCCTTCTTCCTTGCAAACTTTGTCATCAGCCAGGCCAAATGTTCTTCTAATCCACCAAGGTCCTGGACGTTCCAGAGTTCTCTTTCTGTAAACAACTGTAGTCCCAAAGTGACAGAACAAACATAGCAAACGGCAAATTTATAAATTACATCTTGAAGGTCACAGTCCTTATACAAGGTGATAAAAGCTCAGGAACATTTTAAATTCCAATAGAAACTGCAATTGCAACGGGTGGTAAATACTCCACCCCCAGCCTTTTTTGATGACCCCTGAGGTACTATTTTCAGAAGGCTATAGGAAAGCTTAGAAAGTTAACTTTAAAAATAATTAGTTATAATTATTTTGTTGTAGTGCGCCTTCAAGTCATATCTGACTTATGGCAACCCTAAAGTGAATTATCACACAATTTTCTTGTAAGATTGTTCAGAAGAGATTTTGCCTTTGTCTTCCTCTGAGGCTGAGAGAATATGACTTGCTCAGATCATCCAGTGAGTTTCCATGGCTGAACAGGGATCTGAATCCTGGTCTCTAGAATCAGAATCAAACCACTACACTATGCTGGCTCCCATGAAACCCTCATAAACCTAGTTTGTTACTGTTATAGTTACAATTTTAGAAGCAACTATTTACTTCCTAGTTTCCAAAAGTAATTAAAGTTACCTTCTGGTTATTTTAAAAGCAGCATTGTAGCAGCAGGAGGCACAGCATCACTTAAACTGATATTCCTGCTCTGTTTTTTCATGAAACCGTATTTCTGTAACTATATAAGTCACCAAAAAATTACAATTAAACCACAAAAGGAGTCAAGGTATACCATATCAAATTATAATCCTTACATAATTTAGTTGTGTGACTACCAACTAATTACAGTCAGCCCTCTGTATCCACAGATTTTTTTTACCCATGGATTTAAAATATTATTATAAATTATATATATTCCAAAAGCAAACCTTGATTTTGCCATTTTATGTAAGGAACAGCATTGTACTGTGCCACTATATTTACAGGGATTTGAGTATCCACAGATTTTGGCATCCATGGTGTGTGTGTGTCCTGGAACCAAACCGCAACGGATATCAAAGGACCACTGTACAAACTCAGAATTAAAACTAGTTGATGCCAAACTTTGGATAGGAAAGATGAGGCCATGGAGGCAGGTATGAAGAGATATGAAGCAGTGGAATAAGAT